TTTATTTCAAACATGTTTGATATTTATTTTTATGGTTATTTAAAATGTTTATTACGGTAGGTTGCTCTAACAAAGCTTCGGTGTTGCTACAATACGGATGTTGGGGAAAAATAGATGAAGGGGAAGGGCACAATTTGTCAAGTAAATTAAATTCAGTTTTTAATATAACCTCAATCATATTTGTTCGTAACTTAACATAGTCAAATTTTTAAAAATCGATTTAGTTTTAAAAGAAAAGGTAGTTGACGGTTTGTCCCCTGATTTTTGCAATATGCGCGCGCATCGTCAGCGGGCTGAGGCTACGTGTTCGAACACCAGCAGTAATGGCGGAGGAGAGCGAGCAGAGCTTTAATAATGTGGGTATATTATGCTTGTTGAAAATAAAATAACTTTTGCAAAGTTATTAGGCGATAAATTAGTTGTGTAAACCTAAATTATGCGCTCGATTTATTAACATATAGCTTAATTACAAACATGCTCGGACGTGTTCGGACTTATCGCTTCCCTCCAGCCGCCTGCTCGTCTCTCCCGCTCAGTCAGTTGACCGGGCGGAGCGGCTCGTTAAGCCGAAAGAGAACGACCGTCTCCCGGCACATTGCTTTCAAACTCCCGCTGGTTTTCGGCAACGAATTAAACGCAAAACTAAGACAATATCTAATGTTAATGTTTGCTAATTTTATTATTATTGTTACTATTAATTACAAATATATTTATTTAAAGTTGGTGCTGAAAGTTATTCAGCTCTAAGTTAGTGTTTAAGTTAAGTTTTACTTATAAATTAAATTATATGTGTCATTTTATTTTATTAAGTGCTATATTTATTTTTAGGAACATAAAAATTACTCTGAACATTTGAAATTGCTGGCTAATTAAAAATTATTTGCAGTGAAGACAGCTATAAGATTGAATTCAGTCATTCTTAAAGTTGGATTTGTGATTATGTCTTTTCTGATAGATTTTATAATTTTACATCCAGGATCTTCAGGAGAATTAAGCGAAACTCAAACTCCTTGTTCTTAACAAAGACTTTCTGTATGGCTAAGAACATGAGTCTGCTCCCTCAAGGTATTGAAGCTCAGAAGAAATGTTCTCTAAAATGTTGTCATGCTTTTTAGTTACTGTAACATTTTAACACTAACTTATGTTTGATACAGAAGATGATGTAGCCCTGGAGCTGCTGCCAGTACTCCTCCCTGCTCCACCTTACTAATTTGGGAGAAGAGTTTCAGACCCATCAACCTGGAAGT